AAAACGAATAAAGATGGTGTGTGGAAAATCATGTTTTGTCTGTTTCGTGTCATTTTTCCGTTGTTTCATACGATAATGATATATCAGAGTACCGACGTCAAAAAGTGTTTTTAAAAACAACAACATATTTTTCAGGGGATTTTTAGTGACAAAACGTGCTAAAATCGAAACAAAGTTTCGAGCAACTTCTGAGCGACCTCGACTCATTACCTTCATTCGTATAACAATTGACCTGAAAACACATTACTGAACAATTAATCATCGTTAATACTAGAGTCGCATTAGGAAACTAAGTACTTAACCCTCTGCATACTGCCCCGAAGCACAACATGTGCTGCGTTCAACGACGTAGTAGACGAAATGTATTTATTATTTAAGGATTGCAGGGACGGGCTAGAATATTAGTACCAATCAACCTCCCTACTTATAAACCTCCCCACTTAAAATATTATAGTAGTTTCTATGCGTAGACCCGCAACAGATTGTATGTCATCTTCCTTTCCTTTATCCGCACCCCCGCCCCACCCCCAAAAAAGTATGTAGCTCATCACTCGTAAAGATAACCGACACGGTGCGTGGCAAAGACTTGGTTGCTCTACACTCAATGCCACGGCGGTTATTGGCACGAAATCGACACAAAACAAATCGATACTCACATTAAATATTTAATTGTCTGCGGAGTATTAATTTGCTTGTTTAAAGCATTGCTATGAGAAACGCAGTCATAGCCTTCATAATCGACTCATACATTATATAACGAAAATAAAAATATACTACTCGTGTCAGTTATTATTATATCGGTTGCTTAGCAACGCTATATTAATATATGGTTATTGAGGAAATGAGTTTGAACTCTCGCGAAAAGGGGACAACTCTTGTTTGAGTGGTGTTGACGAAATGAACATCGTACTAAGTTGGCGCCGGGAGATATAACGTCATCGGTCTCGCGTTCGCCACTGACAGATATATTTCTAGGTTGTCTACAGCTATATCTACAATGCGGGGAAAGATTGTTTTTAATGATTTGGGATATTTGAAATTGTGGACATAGAATTTTCACTTATTTTATAAGGCTTTATCAAAGCAAAATATATCTCACAGTAATTATTAACCCTACCCTAAGTACCAGTTCGTGTAATGTTGTTTACGTCTTTGACATCAAATAAAATACGCATAGTCAGTTTTATTGATGTGTTGGAAGCCACTAACAATCGGCCATGTATACAGCTAATACTACATTGAATAAACTAGTATAGTACAGTGACTGGCCGATCGATACCTTTTCGTGTATAGACATTGTTTCTGAAGTGTGAGTGAGTGAAACCAGCAAATATCCCAATATGTTCAATTAAACCGATGCCACGAGGCTTTGGATCGGTCAGTAATTTCAAACTCCGTATACACACGGCATAGTGAGTCAACCGTAGTACAGTGGTCGTTGCAAATTTGACCTCACACTCTAATACTTTCAGCTGTTTTTTTTTAATGCTGCTTGACTTTCTTTTAAATTACAGAATAGCCTATTGAGTGTCGATGTTGCCAGGGGCAACAATGTTGCGCCATTAATACCGGCGTTAAGTCGTGGAGGCATGCGTAGTGTTGAATCGCAGTGGGGTGATGGTATGTTGTGAGCACTTGATGGGAATGCCTCTAGTTCTAGACGATTTATCATAAACGAGTGAGCCGTTCAATTGACTAGCACGAGGAAGACAGAAATAGTCAGAATTAGCCATCCACCTGTTCGTGCCGTTTTGTTTACCTCGGCAACGGCCGTGTGTGGCGCACATGACGTGACCCGGGATATTAGATCGAGTGTAATTGTATATTTCCTGCCGCCGAGTTAGAACTGTACGTTTTGTGCTTCAACGAGACGTCTATGTCGTCGGAACGTTCGCCGAATAACTTTACTGCGTTTCTAGCCAGGGACAAATGACGTTTGGTGTAATTTCATCTCTGTCCGCCCGGGTGAGTGATTTCTATGTTGTGCTGGAATTGACCACTTATACCGCTCTGTTGTATCTCGTTAACCCATGCTGAATTAGACACCGTGCATATTACCTTCCCGACGTGTTGTTGTAGCAGTAACGTCAGTTATTCGTTTAACATCGACGTACTCATCAGTCTCGTTGCCAACACCTGTTACAGGAACTTTACATCGCGCTTCTAAGCAAAAAATTTATCGTGTAGACGATTCACGAACATCGGTGTTTTATTTAGGACTCGGCTCAGCCAACCAAGCGTGATATCTGTATACATACAGTTTCAATATATACGGTTTACACGAAGTTGGTTCTTGATCGCCATGCTCACCTCTCGATCGGCCCACCCGCATTATCGCAAACCTGTTGCTCAAACTGCACTAGATGTAACTGAAAGCGTCTACGCTGCACCGCCGTTAGATCTTTCTTTTAAATCTATCCTATCGTTCGAAATGCTCCTCAATATGAAGATGGAAGACATAGAACCGCGTAAGTGCGGGAAGAAATTAAAACGAGACGCCGAAGGCAGGTTTTGCACCACCGCTTTGAAGTTGAATAACAATGTCATCGAACATTGGAATGGTTTTTGTGAAGTCGTAGAAAGGCTTGTTTCAAAGCCAGAAGATTTGTCGTGGATCGATCTCTCATTTAACGCCTTCTCAACCATCGGCGAAGCCATTTTCAAGTTCCCGAGCGTACGCATATTGTATCTCCATGGAAACGAAATTGAGCGTATTGATGAGATTGATAAGCTTGTGCAGATGCCCAACCTGAAGAGCGTGACCCTTCATGGCAATCCCTTGGAAGAGGAAAAGCGGTACAGGCAGTATATGTTGACTGCTCTCCCGGACATCCGTGCACTAGATTTCGTCACTATAACAAAAGCCGACAGAGAAACTGCCGGGGTAATCAACGATTTGTATCGTTTGCGAAACAGAAAGAAAACACGGAAAACGCGTACCATTTGAATTGTTATTCTACTAAATGTTGAAACGGACTATGAAAACGACTCTTAATAATGGCCTGTTTCAGCTATACAACTTTCTTTAGTACATCCCGTAAAAGTAATTTCGATGTTATTAGCGGGAAATTACGGCAAGCCAGCCACCATGTCGATTTCTAGATTTGTGACAATATCAACAATATAATAATATATAAACCCCGCCAATTGACGCTGAAGGAATTCTTTTAGTTGCCTGAAATTAACGTTACGGTACTGGGATATGCTTGACCTGGCAATGGCGTGCGAAAACCGAGCATCTACTAACTTTTAATGATAGTTGTCAATAGGTCGAGATTGTATTGGTACATCACCACTTGTGGCAATACAATAGTGGCCGCTCATTGACTATCTGACAGTGTGCTAATCACGCAAAACACAACTCGTCTGTGATGCTTTCTGCAAGAGTCGATATTCAATGATTTGAACGTTTATTCGGAGTATTGGAGTGAAATTCGGAAACACAGATATGTGAAGGAAGCATTTTCTTTAAATTTAATTGTACTGATTTTCCTCAATTTGCCATGTCGTAATATGGGTCCGAACGCGAACGTCTGTGACATACTGTCAATTTGCGCTATGTACACACCTTTATTTGACACGTGTATTAAAACTCGTGATTTACAATAACAACTTTTCAGTATTTCTTTCATTTAAAAAAATCCAGTGTCAAAATTCAGCTGTAAACGGTAGTTTTACATTTTACGCACGTAGTGATTCCCATTTCTCGTTACATGCACCATAGTAACCACGGGCTGGTGCTTCTTACATTTAGCGATAAAATTACACCGCCAAGTATTACTGGCTAGAGGTCGTAAACACCCCTATTTAAACACCCATATTTACCACCAATGCGTTCAATTGCTTTTTCTTTCTAGTTATACAATTGTGTAAATACGATCTATGACTGCGTTACGTCTCTTATTACAAAGTGCGTAAAGTAAATCAGCCGTAGCTATATATTTACAGCCGCGCTTGGATCACACAATTGCGTGCCGTACGATCGTATGTCAACCCTGTATTGAGTATAATAGTGCTTATATGCAGTCAGTACTCGGTGTGTCTCTTCACATGCGGCATGGTACTCATCGCTACTGTGTGACATCTTAGCTCAGTAATCGTGTAATCCAGTAATCGGGGTCCAGTGCAGCGTCGTGCTAAATCATGACATTATTTTCAGACAGAGCAATTCTTTTTATTTCAAATGTAGTAGCTAGCAGGACAATGCATCATACCTGTACCCAATTTTACGACTAAAACACTTTTTATGTTCCATTTCAACACAATGTGAAGAATTGTACCGTAATATATTTCCTATTATTTATTAGTATTAAATGAACAATTGTCTTCTGTTCACGGTAGTCGGAATTCTTATACATGATTATGGTTGACCCAAAACGGCGGAGACTAGTCGTGCTGTAAGAATTATTCCGCGGTCGACGTGCCTTCCCAGTGTATCGTTAACATGGCTACCTACCGATGTATTGGTATGATTTCTCTGCGTTGGCAGTGTAATTATTTGCGTACAACTACTCCAGCAGCTAGAGGTGTTTACGCTGCGTGATAACTTTTCGGAACCCGCCTCGGGGTTGCGATGCACCTTCGTTAACCCCATCGCATCGCACCATACATTGTGATTTCAGTCATGCGCCGAACAGTAATAGTTCAATGAACCTATTTTCGAGTGTTTTCGCTTGTTTGGAGTTCATTTATAATTTTTTTTCAATTGCAGTGGTATTTAAGTTGTGCTTACCTCACGTTGCGTTTAAAGCGCCATGACAGCCGTCGCGCAGCGCTTGTTTAAATTTCGTGTATCATTGGGGGATGGACGTCTGGGCATTTTCACCGCCTTGCAACCCTCGCGGTGGAAACAAAGGCCAAAAACTCGATAAACGATACTTTGCGATGATTGTTGAGACTCCTCTGAACAATGTAAGAAGGTTAGCCATAGGTGTGTAATATATATAAATTTGGTTGTTCAGAATTACTTCAAAGTTGGGTTTGTGTTGTTTTCTCGAGTTATCACCGGCTCGACCGGCGTTCCACAGCAGCGCGCACAGAGCCCATAAAAATGCATGTACAGTGGTGCGCGTCTTGGCGACGTGGAACATCGTGTGACGTAGCTCCGCCCCGAGGATTTCACACACTGGCACGTTGTACACGTCGCACGCGGAACCAATTCGAACGCAACGCGGTACGACGATATTGGGTCTTTAACTTGAACATGAATACAAATGCTGTACATATATTTGTTATGCTCTTAAACACTCCACCGCCGCGACAACGCATTCCATCACGGCCATAATTGCAGTTACTTTACCTTTCCAATGAGTTTACGCAGGCCGAGTTCAAGATGAAAGCGAATTCGCAGTCATTATGGCAAAGTTGCTTTGGTAACAAACAGATAACACAATGTGTGGAATAGGTGAGTGTTCTCGCCCGAAAGAAAATTTACATAGATATTGCTGTAAAACGGATAATTACGGAGAAGGTTCATAAATTACTCTTTCTGTTTGTGTGTTGAAGCCGTTGGTAATGTGGGTTCAATCATCTAATTGAAATATACAAATGTATCGGTATTGAATGTGCAAATATGCGAACATTCCCGGTATGCGTCTTGTCAGCGCGATGTTGCATTGCACGTCGTAGTGACGTTTATTCGTCGATTGTACTTAGTTATGACTCGACGCATTTAATCGTGGAAACACATTTCCACATACATATAAATACTGTGAATATGTTGCGTATTGGGTGACGTTACTGCATATTCTATAATAGTTTGTTGACAGGTCATCAACGAGCAACGATCGGATTTAGCACTAATTCGATACGTAGTAGTAAATGCCTCAGAGAACTGGCAGAACGGATTT